TATTTTAGTCACCTTACTTTTTTTCCAGATTTTTCCCATTCAATTCACACGAAGAGCACTCTCGTACACTTACAGTGAAAAATGACCTGGTGTAGCAGATATTTTTAGGGTGCAAACCGTGCAATGCTACTGTTTCTACAGGTTTGCCATGACTGAAGCTGCCGGTCCTGCGAACCTCACCCGGGCGTCACGGATCAAACGGGCGCCTCTTTATAGTAAGTCTCTCACACGCCTTTTCAAAATGGTGGACATGTTCTAGTCTCATAAACTCACCCATAAACTGCACGAGTTGGCCAATGAGTTAACCGCCATAGAATTACAATTTACAACCAATGGACAAAAATCTACATGTACGTACGAGTATCTGCCAAAAACTGACCCAGCCCTCTGATGAAATATTTTCCCTCTTTTGGCCAATTTCTATATTAGTCCATTCCGCCAAAAAGTCTGGGCGAGATCTAGATTTTATGTGTTAGTGTCACCTGCTGGAAAGACTAGTTGTGTAGTTTAATATAATGTTTCGTGGCTTTTTGTAAGTAGCAAAGAAAAGCAGATGAAGATCAAAACGGCTCTTGCTCGACAATACATGCAGCTGAATGATTTGACACACTCCTTGACCCCGCCAATCAAAACACGGCACCCTAAAATTAACATTAGCATTGCGGTAAACATACAGGTTAAAGGTTAATTTATGCACGGTCTCACCGACTAGGCTGTGGAGGAGCGCTCCTGGCGGGTTGGGGGAATATCACATCACCTGACTTCCCGATGGAGTACCCACAACACGCACGGTGCCACTGGACTGTCGAACCACGTGATCTCAGCAGGTAGTTAACCTTTTTAACGAGAATTTGCTCAATGCAAGGGAACAAAACCTTTTGGGCACTAAGTTGGTAGGAGGCATATATAAGATGGCAGTGAACGTGGGTTTTGAAGGCTTGAAGGTTGTATTCAGGAGGGAAACCCTGGTCAGGAAGAGTGGTCTATGATTTTGGAATTACATGTAGAGATTGGCACTTGGACAGTGTTAGGCCACACCGATTTAATTTTATGGATGACATCCTCTGAAGACCCCCAAACTAGTGCGCGCGGGCGAAAAAAATAAAAATCCGGCCAAAAATAAAAATGCTTCAAAACCACAGGAATACAAACCTGGTATTGTGAATTTGGCGCATTACATAGCAACGTATACGACAGGCCGACACATGCTGGATTTTTGCGGAATATATGAATCGACACTGCTGTACGTATGTACTGAGTTCTTGAGTCTTGGAGCTTCGGTAGCCTGTCTGCCGTCAACCAGAGTTATCACCACCATGCACTACCCAGGCCTAAAGCCAGGCCAGGGCCTCGGAATACGTGATCTTTTTTTTTTCTTTTTTTCTTGAGATCGGGCGAAAATCAATGCGCGCGCGGATGTCATCCATAAAATTAAATCGGTGTGGCCTAATCTAAATTAAATG